TAATTTTTATTGATTTTAGAGAGGAAGGGGAAGGGATAGAGAGAGAGAAACATCAATGATGAGAGAGAATACTGATAGGCTGCCTCCTGTTTGTCCACTGGGGATCGAGCCTGCAACCCAGGCATGTGCCCTTGGCCAGAATCGAACCTGGAACCCTTCAGTCCGCAGGCCAATGCTCTATCCACTGAGACAAACTGGCTAGGGCTCCATGGAATTATTTCAAGTGAAAGAAAGCCAATCCCCAAATTTACATACTATGTGATTCTATTTATATTAATATTTTTGAAATGATAAATTTTAGAAATGAAGACAGTCTTGTAGTTCCCAGTAGTTGTGTATGGGTACTCATTCTAAAAAAGGAGATATGTGTGGTTATAAAATGCTAATATTGAGAAAGACTGTTGTGTTGATAGAATTGTTTAGAATCTTCCCTACTCTGGTGGATACAGGGACCTACATATGTGATAGAACTAAGTACACACACAGAGAGAGACACAACAAAGTAAAACTGGGAAAATCTAAATAAGATCAATGGATATTATCAGTGTCAATATTCTGTATCATCTGTGATTTATAAACTTTTTCAATCCTTAGTATGATATAAAAATATTATTGATATACTTTATTATAGATTTTTGGTGACTTATGGGTTAAAATTTTTTTTTTCATTCCTAGTTTTCTTGAAGTTTTTACCACAATAAGTATTGAAATTTATCAAATGCTTTCTCAGTAACTATTGATGTGATTGATTATATGGTGTTTTTTCTAATTTATGAGGTGAATTTTTGCTGTTTATTTTATTTTTATATTGTTTAGTTGTTTATGATGGTTGCAAATATCAAAAAATTTCTATATGTGACATGGCACCAGAGTTAAGTTAGGGTTTTTCAAAATGCTGACACGCCGAGCTCAAAAGGTTCGCCATCACTGGTCTATATGATGTTTCAAGAAACTATTTTTTCTTTCCTTGGTTTTCATCATATTTTCTGCCTTCTCCCTTTCCTTTTGTCTTTGTCTTTTTACTGGTTTCATTATTTCCTCCTCTCATTCCTCAGGGAAACTTAGTCATCATCTATAAACTTCTAAATAAGTAACACACTTTTAATATATTCTACATACTAACCATTTGTTGACTTTTTATTTAAAAACATATTCATTTCTGAGCTCCTATTTACTCTAAAAATTTGGATATATTTTTTTTTGTATTTCCTAGGCAGATAATTGTATCATCTGTGGTTTATTTATTTTCTTATTTTATTTTCCACAATTGCTCATAGCACCTTTATTTGTACTAGTCAGCAACTGAAAAACCCATATGTCCTCAAATGGGTGAATGGTTAAACAAACTGTGGTATATCCATATTATGGAATACTACTCACCAATAAAAAGTAATAAACTCTTAACACATGATAAAACTTTGGTGGATTTCCATGGAATTATT